TGAAGTAAGTTAAAGCACACTACGTATATATACTTAGAGTCATGGCAACAAAGATCTTACTTGGGGATGAAACACAAAGGCTTGGATAATAGTTATAGTGATGGTGGTATTTTGAGCGAGATTATACTGGCTTTTCTGAGCCAATTCTGCACATCTCTTCCTAATTCCGTGTTCAGTAAGGTCTTCTTAGTAGCCTGAAATCTGCTGTAGGTTTGTTTATACCATAGAAATTGGCAGACATTATAAATCTCAGATTTCCCCTCCCTTGTCCTCACCCTGGAGAACTGGCACATCAGCACATCACTGTGCCACTCTCCACAGAGTGGGATGCGATTCGGAGGGGCATACTGGGGGCTCAGCATTACTGGTAAAGCCTTTAGACTTTCAAGCATTTCCAAAGCAAATATGGCATAAAGGAAGGCCTTGATGGAATAGGGGTGCTTCATAAGTGTTTATCATATGCTTTCCCATATTTTGGAAATACTTCTGAAAAACAATCTTATCAGCTAAAAGTTTCTAAAGTGTTAGTTGCTCAGTCATGTTGGACTCTCTGGGACCCTGTGGACTGTAGCTCGCTAGGCTCATCTGTCCATGGGATTCTCCAGGCAAGAATACTGGAGTGGGTAGCCATTTTCTTCTCCAGGGGATTTTCCCAACCCAGGTCTCCTGGATTGCAGGCAGATTCTTCATTGTCTGAGCCACCAGGGGAAAATTTTTCAGGCTAGCATAAAACCATTTTCTCTTTGCCCTCTTTAGTTTTAGAGATTTAAATCTTGCTTAGTTGGGCACAATAGTATTATATTATGATGAGGCATCTGGACCTGAACTAGTAAAAATTTTAAAATCATTTCAAGCCTTAACCATAGATTTGCCAGACAGTTGTATCTTTGAAATCAATTGATGTAGGGTATAGAACAGAGGGTTCATAAGAGGCATTAACATAAAAACTCACATCGATACTGTTATTTAATGAAATATAATAGTAAAGACATTTAAGCTCTAAATTTAGTCCAGAGTTAAGAGAAAGGAAATAAAAGCAAATAGGGACAATACAGTACAGACAATTAACTGTAAAAGTTAAACAGAAAAATATTCTTGGAAATAATAAAAAAAATAAGAAGAATACTAGTTGAGATTCAACAAAACCAGGTGTTTAAAATAGGCTTCCATCAATAGGAGAATGGATAAAGAAGATGTGGTACATATATACCATGGAATATTACTCAGCCATTAAAAAGAATAAAATAAGGCCATTGGCAGCAACATGGATGAACCTAGAGATTATCATACTGAGTGAAGTCAGATAGAGCAAGGAAAATGTCATAAGATATCACTTATCCACAGAATCTAAAACAGGTGAAACAAATGAACTGATTTACAAAACAAAAACAGACTCAGACTTAAGAGAACAAACTGATGTTTACTAGAGTGTAAGGGTGAGGGGTAGGGGCATTTAGGCAGTTTGGGATTGACATGTACATGCCGCTATGTTTAAAATGGATAACCAACATGGATCTACTGTATAATATTAGGAACTCTGCTCAATATACTGTAACAGTCTAACTGGGAAAAGAATTTGAAGAAGAATAGATTCATATGTATGTGTATATAAATATATATATGTATATATATATATATATATATATAAAACTGAATCACTTTGTTGTACCCCTGAAACTAACACTCCAGTATAAAATAAAAAGTTAAAAATAAACAAAATAAAAAAATCAAAATAGGCTGGGTTGGTTTTCTAGCTCTATGTCCTTGAGCAAAGGACTTTCTACACTGTCTCCTCTGTCCAAACAATGTGTATACATTTTGCATCTTATCTGCCTCAGAGCTGTTGAGAGGATGAAAGGAGACAATGCATGTGCAGATTTACAACTGTGATCTACCAAAGGGACAGGCATGAGCACCATCAGCTAGAATTGTGTCACCTCTGATGACTCACATGTCACCATCACCCTGACTCAGGTTTACTTTAGTTACATCTGATTTCCTTGTTTAGCAAACACCAAAGAGAAAAGCACAGAGAACAATTCAGGCATATAAAGACCTGTCTTCCAACTTTTGCAGCTGAGGTCCCTTCTCGCTGACATTGGGGGCTACTTCTGTCTTGTTTTCCTTTAAATTAGGAGACACAGGAAGCTTTAAACTCCAGGGAGTAGAAAACCCTTCCTGCCTGGACTATGCCACAATGCCACAAATCAAGACCTGAAAAGCAGGGCTCTGTTCTGGCAGGAGGGAATGTGGCTAGATGCCTGGGGCTTGGAGTCAGAGAAGCCCAGACTTATATAAAACGATAATGCACATAAAGCTCTATGGCCTCTGGCATGGACAAGCACTAGATAAACAGTCATTACAGTCAACGCACAGCCAAACCACCAGAAAGCTAAGGCCAGGGCCTCCCAACACGAGGCCTGATTCCTCTTCCCGGGTTACTGTACCATCAGGGAGCTCTGGGTGGAGAAACCACTCACGGCTCCTCGGACTATTACCCTCAGAGTTGCTAAATGAAGCCGGCTCCAACATCAGCACATTACTAATGCACATGCAGATTCTAAATTCCCTAATTCCATTTTCTAATGCCATTCCTCTATTTTCTTATTATTGCATTTATTTTATCTAGACAGTGTTTCTCAACCATGGCTGCACATCTATTGTTGTTGTTCAGTCGCTAAGTCATGTCCAACTCTTTGTGACCCCATGGACTTCAGTAGCATGCCTGGCTCCTCTGTCCTCCACTATCTCCCAAAGTTTGTTCAAATTCATGTTCATTGAGTCAGTGATGCTATCTAACTATCTCATCCTCTGCCGCCCCCTTCCCCTTTTGTCTTCCATCTTTCCCAGCATCTGAGGACCTTTTAAAAAATCTTGATGCCCTGGTCCCACCACAGACCCATTAATTAGAACTTTCGGGGGCAGGAATCATCATATTAAAAACAAAACAAAGCACAATCCTTCCCAGGGAATTCCATTGTGTAGTCCAGGTTCAGAACCGCTATCTTGGAACATACAAATTGGTTTACAAAGTCTACTGAGTCCAATGAAAGAGATGTTGCAACACTGGCTTTTTTCATGTCCCAGGCTTTCAAAATTAAGGGACAGGTTGATAATTCAAACGTGTCTTCCAGAGGCCAGGCTTGGGATAGTGTTAGGGATCCACATGGATGTTAGGGAAGGCCAAGGAGATGTGGATCCTACCCTCAAGGAGCTCACATATACTAACTTCAGTATTATAATTTACACTCTGGTTGAGTGACCCCATGATCGGGCATTATAGAACTCTCTAAGGAGGTTTTACTGTAACTCTGGGCTTCCCAGGTGATACCAGTGGTAAAGAATCTGCCTGCCAATGCAGGGGACACAAGAGATACAGATTTGATCCCTGGATCGGGAAGATCCCCTGGAGGAGGGCATGGCAACTCACTCCAGTATTCTTGCCTGGAGAATTCCCATGGACAGAGGAGCCTGGGAGCTGCAGTACACGGGGTCGCACAGACTCGGACACGACTGAAGCGACTTAGCACACAGGCAAGCAATAAACCTTATAGAGATAGGAAGATGTGAGCAAGACTTGAAATGAGGGAGGCCATTATGTCCCAATAAACCCACTGTAAGTTGAAAATGTCAGAACTCAGAAATGCATGAATGACTTCCCTGGTGGTCCAGTGGTTAAGAATCCGCCTGCCAATTTAAGGGACACAGCTTTGATTTCTGGTCTGGGAAGATTTCACATGCCATGGGGAAACCAAGCCTGTGTGCCACAGCAACTAATCCCATGCTCCAGAGCCTGTGCTTAGCATCAAGAGAAGCCCCTGCAACTAGAGAGTGGCCCCTGACCACCGCAACTAGAGAAAGCCTGCAAGCAGCAATGGAGCTGCAGCCAATCCAAAAATAAAGTCAATAAAAAATTTAAAAAGGCTTTAAAATACACTTGATCTACTGAACACAAAAGCCTCACCTCACTTACCTTAAATGTGTTCAGAACACTTACATGAGCCTCCAGTTGGGCAAAACTATCCAACACAGAGCCTCTTTGTAATAAAATGTTGACTGTCTCATGCAATGTATTGAATACTGTACTAAAAGTGAAAACAGAACGGTGTAAGTGTATTGGTTGTTTACCGTCATGATTGCATGCCTGACTGAGAGCTGTAGCTTACTGCCTGGGGAGGGGTTGATGGGCGGGGGGAAATCAAAATTCCAAATTTGAAATACGGTTTCTACTGAACAGATCTTGTTTTTGCACCATTGTAAAGTAAAAACAAAAAACTCACGAGTTGAAACATCATAAGTCGGGGACCACCTGTATCCTATCTAAAATTCCCCAAAGAATATAGACATGACCCAGTTGGCATGCAAACCCAGATATGTTGGAAACCTGAGTCTGTGCTCATTACCTGCCTACTACCTGGTCTTCCAAGAGGTACTACAATATAATAACTGATTTGTTCACTCCATCCCCTTCAGCTCCCTGTCTGTCTTGTTTCCTATGGTATTTTTCTAAGCCCCATGCCTGCTACACAGTAGGTACTCAATAGATGTCTGAATCAAGTGCTATAAATTTTAATTATTAATTTGCATTAATATCTGTTATGATTAAAGTATTTATTGTCTGTTTACTCTCTTGCCCACTCCTTAGGCAGACAAGAATTTTTAGAAAATCCAGTGGGAATGGAGATGTTGGGGGACTGAGGCAGCATATATTTTTGGATGCCACGTTCACCCTGTATTGTGGAACCGAGAAGCCTCTGTTCTGTCATGACGAATAGGTCTCTTCTCTGAGCCAGGAGGATAGAATGGGATGGGATTCTGAATTAATCTGAGACTAACATACAAACAAGGATGTTTCCAAGTAGAAAACTTCACGGCATGATAGCTCACAGAAATTGATGAAGTAGAATCAGGGATTTCTGTTAAGTTTTCTGAGGCCACCTTCATTTGAGAAAAACTCATAATGTTCTTATGTAAGAACAATCTTCTGAGTATTAACTTACCTATTAAAGTGGTAGATATCCTGTATGTTTCCAAAAAGGGCTGATCTTTCATCTGTCCCCAGAGGAAGTTTTGTCTGGTCCCTGATACAGTCAAGGTAATCCTGTGAAACGAACAAGAAAGATGTCATAAACACTGCTGTTCTTTTCCAAGACATCTTTAGTTATGTGTGGTGAACCTTTCATATCCGTTTCAAGTAATTATTATGCTAATGTGCTCATTAACTCTACCGTGAGAATACAGAATCTCTTTTATTAATAATGATATTTCCCTATTTATAGAGCAGGGAGTTTGAACAAGGAGAAAGGGTGTATATACATTAAAATGTGTGTGTGTGTGCGCGCACACATGCTCAGTAGTGTCTCTTTGTGACCCCTATGGACTGTAGCCCGCCAGGCTCCTCTGTCCATGGAATTCTCCAGGCAAGAAGACTGGAGTGGGTTGCCATGCCCTCCCTCCAGGGGATTGTCCCGACCTAGGGATCGAACCAGGTCTCCTGCATTGCAGGCAGAGTCTATCATCTGAGCCGCCAGGGAAGCCCTATATTAACATATCTACACCTAAAATGTATTAGCACTTCCCTAAATGGATAACATAACGACCATGGTTACCAATAAAGTCAGACTTCTGGCATAACAACATTGCCTGCTGTCCCCTCAACTGATTTATTAGTATATGATAAAAAAGATACTGCAAAATCCACACAGTGGGAAGCCAAGAACAAAATTGTGAAATGCAAAGAAATTGTTTTAAACATCACCTTTTTAAGTCAGAAAGCTGTTGTGAAACTATGGAACTAAATGCATCCTCAAATGCTAGTTTAAAAAATGCTTTCTAAACATTATATGTTTTTTAAAATAAACATATAACTCACTCATACGATCTAATAGACCATGTTAAGGAGCTATGAACTGCACTGAAATGATTTTATCCATTTTAACACGGCAGCAACTCCCAACTGAGCTGACGTGGCGTGGGCTCAGGCCCACAGTGGGTTAAATGGATGTGGCTTAGAAGTTATTTGAACTGCTGGGAGAGGGGAAAACTGTGCTCCATGCTGTGTGCCCCATCCCTGAGTGTCCCTCTTGCTCCAGCCAGACTTGAAAAGAGAACTCTGTAGGAGGCAAGAAAACAATAAAGAAAAAAGTGAAAACAGCTGAAATAACGTAAAATCAAAAATAAATAGTCCCCCGTCCTGGGCTGAACAATGCAGGACAGTTCTCCACCAGACGTCACCCGGAGCTCCTGGGGAAGTCTCGGCGGGGGGGAAAGTCAGCCAGACCCTGAAAATCCCAGCCCTGGACTGCATTCCAATGACCAGTCACAAACACAATAATATTTAGGCACAACTAGTGAAAGGAGAAGCTGAAATGTGAGAAGGGTCAGATAATTGTTGCTTTTGTCTTTTAATAAGCCACAGCCTCCCTCTTGTGCCCTTCATGCTCCTCAAATGAAAACCAGGCCGGGCTTCATCAGGAACCGTCTCCCTAGCAGGGCTCACAGACTGCGTCAAATAACTAACCATTCTGGTTCTTAACCATCATGGTCATGCAGGAAGTGACGTTCATAAGCCTTTTTATGTTTTAACAAGCTTGATGGTGACATCTTTTCTTCTTCAGAAAGTGGTCCTCTCAATAAGAAATTAGACTTACGAGGTTTAAGTGTGAAATTGCCATTAAAAACCCACAATAGCAAGACCCAGCCTCCTTACTTTTATGACTGGAACAATTATAGGGAGCTTCAAGTACCTGTACAGGCTCTAGAGATAATGCCCAAATAAAAAGTTGTGAAGAAGGCTAGAGTTGAACGAAGAGGGCATTTTGAGCAAGTATGAATCAAAGTGAGGTGTCCTCAAAAAGACAAATACGTGTGTTTCTTGACAGTTTCATAAAATTACATGTGGTCCAAAGAGATGGGCTGCTAATAGTTAACAGCGCGGAATGCTTATATTTGATAGCTTTTTTAATACTTTGATTAACATTTTAAAAGGACACATCAGATGGTCCAGTGGTTAAGATTTTCTGTCACCAATGTAGGGGCGGTGAAGGTTCCATCCCTGGTCAGGGAACTAGGATCCTACACACTGCACAGAGTGGCCAAAAAATTAAAAAAATAAATGAGCCTTAAAAAAATATATAAAAAGACACACCATATGCAAAATTAAGAAGGTAAAACAGAAGGTTGCAGATGAGTATGAAATTAAAAAAGTAAAATGGAAGATATTGGCAGGCATGACCTACACCCAACAGCAGCATTAAGGCTGGGACAAAGCTGAGGCAGGGATGCCAAATTCATCTGAACGGCTGCAATGGGGTTTAAGGAGAAAGGGAAGAATCCTTTTTCTCACTTCAAGCATGAAGCTGGCCCATTGTTCAGAAACCTGATTCTAAATTCTTCATGTCAAGGAAGGACCAAGTTGAGGGAGTTGAAGAATTTCATCTGGGGTGAGAGACAAAGAACCATGGCCCACTTCCAACAGGGGATGGCCCATCTCCAGATCAAAGAGTTTCAAAACCCCAGAGTCTTTGGTAGAGGAACTATATTGTAAAAGCTGCTTGCTTTCTGAACTCATTGAGAAATAGACTGTTAGGAGTCCAAAGTTTCGCAGGCCACTCCAGAAAACAGATCAAAGCCATAGGGCCACAACATATTCCCCCACTGATCATAACTAAGTCTTTTAAATATGATACTTTAACCCCAAACCAGTTACTGGAAACTACTGTAGCATGCACTGTGTTAGCAGCTGTAAGCATCTGAAGCCAAAATGAGAGGTTTGAAGCTCGGTGATAATAATAGTTCATTCTGTGCTCAAATGACACGGTAGAGACACCAATGAAATTTATTAGAGCCTGTCACGCTGCTTATTAATTTTATTGGTTTGATGTCAGCACCTATGGTTACCCTACAGTTAACAATGATCAATTTAAAACTTTTGCACTGAAAATAATTATTCTCCAAGAAGATCAAAGAAGTCACTCAATGCTGAGGAAGGTAGGAAGAGATACACACAAAAAAATAGCTTTACACCATTTGAAAAAGGTTTTATTATAGTACTATGAATTTTGCCTAAAGTATTTCTTCTCTAATCAGCAGTTCCACCATTGTAAGATTTGTACACATGTGCTCTCTTCTTGATAACTTTTTCATTTCTGTGATGTCTGTTATAGAAAATATCCAAGTAAACTTGAACTCAGTGCTGTTTAAAGTGTGGTAACGGATAGCAATCAATTTGCAATCTACAGATGATCACAACAAGGTCAGTGCAGAAGTTGAGACTAAGCCTGTACAGACTTCTATAGCATTTTGACAGAAGGATGTTTTTTGAATCAAATAAAAATTCAAGCTTGTATTTTGCATATCTGATATCTTCTATTTTGTTTCTCTAGTAATTCTTTTTTGGTGTGTGGTGTTTTACAAAAATGTCAGTGCATGGCCGATAGGCACACACACACACACACACACACACACACTCCCTCTCTCAGACAGTTTGAGAAGGTCTGGCCTAGACAACAGTCCAGCAGAGATGCTGGAGAGAGAGTGTTTCCAGAACTGGGACAGAATTCAAACTCAACGTCCTCGGGAGCTCGCTTTATTTAAGATGTCCTGAAAGAATTAAGTTAATGTCCCTGCACCCGGCCCCCCTTTTCCCTCTAAAATAATGCTTAAAATGTTTAAAAATTACAAACTGTTTAACATGAAAATAAAGCTAAACCATAAGAAGACAAACATTTATTTAGATCGGCATCTAATTTTTCTACTATTTCTCTCTCTTGAAGATAGTCATATGATACAAACAAAATGAAGAAAAGGTTCTGTTCATAAATCCTTTTGCTCGGGTTTCAAAATTTCATCTCTTTGGCTTACTCTTTTTGGTCTAGTTTTTGTGTTAGCATTTCCAAATTCCAAGCCCTTTGATATAATCCCTATGTAAGACTACTGGTCTTTATTTTGGGGGAAGCATCTTTTTCAGTTTTTCCAACACCTCCACCTTTTCTAGAAAGTAATCATTTGTTTATAGAAAACCTGCCGGCAAGTTTCATGTATTACTTTGGGAATGATGTTCATATGATAATAACTTACATTTGTATGTCAATTTACAGTTTAAAAGCACATTCACATTTATTCATACAAACACTACCCCCTACTTTGAGGTCATAAGAATGCATGTCAAATTCTGTTTTACAAGCTAGGAATAAATAAAATGAATAAAACATGATCCCTCCCTCCAAGGAGCTTCCTGCGTAGTTGAAAGACAAATGTAAACAAGTAAATACAATACTGTGTTCAGACAGCATGACTGATAAATATTCAGCACGTGGGAGACAGGAGGCAGGAAAGGAAGTGGGTAATTCCAGGGCAGGGAGAAGTCTTCTAGAGGAGGTGACGGTGCAGCTCAGTCTTTAAGGATGACAGAGAATGGAGAGAAAGGAGGAGACACAACACCCAGGAAGGCAGAGAAGAGTAAAGGAGCACACGGTAACAAAATGCAGGGTGCAGCAAGGACACGAAAGGAGCTGGAGACTTCCCTGGTATTCGAGTGGTGAAAACTCTGTGCTTCCACTGCGGGGGGCACAGGGCTGGATGCCTGGTCAGGGAACTAAGATCCTCCATGTGACATGAAATGCCCCACCCCCCTCAAAAAAATCAATGAAAGAAGCACAGATGGGCTGAGCGAACAGGACATGAACAGCGCACATACACAGATCCTGGAGGTGGGGCTGCAAAGTGAGAAGCGCTCAAGTCAGGACAGGCTTGATCATGGAGAACCTTCCATGCTCTGTAGGCAACTCGGAAGGATGCCATGAGACCAAAGGTCACTCCAGCATCAGAAAATGGAACATGAGCTATCAAACTGCCAGTGCCACACATCCATCCATCCATCTGTCCATGCCATCTATCATCTGTCCCTGCATCCATCCATGAACAGGCTGATGGGAGGTGCAGGGAAAGAGAAGACAGAGGGAGGAAATCTAGAATGACAGGAGGGCGTAACTGGCAAAGGTGAGCACAGAAGATAGCAGGTGACCATGAGAGCCCAGGTGAGGGGACAAGATGAAAGGCAAGAGGACAGGACGATAAATACCACTCCAGGACGTCTGGGCA